ATTGTTCAGAATTTAGATTGGGATCATGTTTCTCACAGAGTTGTTGCTTGGTTTTCTTGCCTTGATACTGTACTGTTTTGTTTTTTGTTTTTTTTTTTTTTGCCAGAAATCTTCTTAGGGACTGCTCATACATTGAAATATTTCACAGAATCACAGAACCATAGGGGCTGAAATGGACCTCTGGAGATCACCTAGTCCAACACCTGCTAAAGCAGGTTCCCTAGGGCAGGCTGCATGGGAAGGTGTTCAGGTTCATTCTGAATATCAGCCTCTCTGGGCATCCTGTTCCAGTGCTTTGTCACTCTTCAAGTAAAAAATTTTTGCCCTCAGAAGAAGTTCATGACTGTGATATGCCATGTCTCATTGCCTTGGCAACCCAATGAGGATCAAGAGAAAGAGCCACAGCTAAAATACAGCTCTTGAGAGAAGGAGAGACAGAGCCCTATCTGGGGCTTCTTCCAGCTCTTTCTCTATAGTCTCTTTCTTCAAAACAGTCTTAATTAAGATTAAACACTTGCACTGTGTCAGTGTATAGGTCTTGTGCACAGACATTCCCAGGAAGGGGGAGCACACTCCATCCATATCACTGATTTCTCCCACGTTACAGCAAGGCACAACTGTATGTCACAACTTCTCCATGTTGCTTCAGGTTGTACAACAACCCTCACCTACTGGGAGAAGAACAGATGAGAGGAAGTCACCTGGAGCTGGCTCACATCTGAGTGTTTCTAAGGGCCATAAGTTATCTTCTTATGACAAAGGTAAGATTTATGGGAATTTTCTGCCTTAGAGTCATCTGAATGATTGATCTCCAACCCTTGGTTAACAGGAAATATGTTGTCACTAAAACTCTCCTACGATTCTCAGAAGTACAAAACTTGCATTTGACAAGAAAAGGAAGATAGAATGTGCTGAATTTATTGCTGTGGAAGCCCAGAAGGTGGAACATGGTGGTGGTCTGCAGTTCTCTTTGGTCCAGGATAAAGCTCCTTCAGAAATGAGCAAGCCAGTGTTGCAAGCAAGCATCTGAGAGCTAGCATCTTTAAAAATGATCTTCTGCACTAAGTGAAGAAACATGACTGTATCCTCTTTTATTTTGCTTTTTCTTACAGGCACACCTTCACCCATTTCAATTATCTCAGAAGACACGTTCCTCTCAAATAAGCACAGCAATAACACGTGCAACTTTGCGCTCTGCAGTTACAGGGAGGAAACACAGGTATTTCACTAAGAAAATCTATGAAATAATTCACTGGTCTATGACTTCAGTTTTCACATACAGCATGCTAGCTCCCATTTGGCTAGCAACAGCACTCTCTTGGATTTATCTCTTATGATGTGTACACTCTCTAAAACAATATTTTAATGGCTTAGAAGTAACAAAGTACATTTCTTTACCAACATATTCCTGCATTGGACATTAATAGATCTATGTTGCGAGTTAGTATTTTAATTTTGATTCAGGAAGAAGAGATTCCTAATCTTAAAAAGACAGAAAGAATGTTAAAACCTCAGAATAAAGTGGCTTTTGCAACGACCCAAAGGAGAAGTGGCATAACTGCATATGAGAACAAAGTACTTACAAGCAGTTCTCCTACTCTTCTGGATGCTGAAGCAAAGGTTGGAGCAATTTATGGTTCTGGGCCTTATATGATGAGTCTTCTTTTCATCTTTTTCATCTTCATCTTTTCCATGGGTGAATTGAAGTGAAACACACTAAGAAAACCTTCCATTCCCACTTCCTTCCTGCCCACTATAAAACTCAGAACTTTTAATCTGAGACTGATACTGAGTTATAATCTCCCGAAAGGATGCAACTTCTTTTTCCTTAATGAAATTGCAAATGTTTTGATCCGGGGCCAGGAGGGAGGGGGAATATTGTATCTGGAAGATTTGTGCCTTTCTCCAGAACAAAGATGAATTATGCATGATTTTTTTTTTTTTGGCTAGTGTTCAGGTTCCACTGCTTGCTTCAGAGCCCCCCAGTACATGGACTTTCCATCTGTTACTGGGCATTCCTTGCGTGCTCTTGAAGCAGCACTACTCTAAAAGTATGCTCAGTCCTTTGAACATAGCTTGACATATAAAGGCAAACAGCAGTTACCTCAAACTGTGTTGGCCTGTGTGTATGAAATCCATATTAGTAAGAAGAATGAGAACTGAAGGATGTTCTGTTTAGAGGGAAGAGAGATCACTGTGGAAAACACTTTGCAAATGCTATGCAGTGGACAGAGGCTTGGGGATCAATCTATCAACTTCAAGCACAGTGTTGGCAGCTTTTCACTGGAGCACATCATTGCCCTGTGGGAAGCAGTACTCCCAGTTCCTTTGGATCCCACAGGCTGACATGTACTACCACTGTAATGAGAATTAGATAGTAATTGCTCTGGATGCCAAGTGCCAGTCACCAGTTAACTTAAGGCTCCTTTATGCTACCAGACAGTGCAAAGACAAGCTGTAACAGTAAATTGAATGCATAGCTACATAGTCAGCATTACCTACAGCTAAGAGCAATGTGGTTTGTTTTGAAAGGTGGATCTTGCTAGCATAGGTGCCTTTCTTTGCAAATCAGCAATCCTGCATTCATTCAGAGATAATCCTGTTCTTTGCAGTTCTTTTTTTTCTCTCCATTTCCTATAGTACAGTTTCACCACAATGCATTCCCTGATATTGCTTTGATAGCTGACATTAATTGGAACTAATGCACAGCAATTGCAGTTACGACTAAAACATCAAAACTCACTATGAATTCAGGACAATACCAAAAAGAAGTGCAACTTTCCTCTTTCTGTGTAAAAGTAAACATTTTTTTTAAGAGTTGATTAAAATTTGTGAAAATATTTTTACAGCCTTTCTGTCTGTATAATTCTGACTGTGATATTTTCATAGGTACAGCCTCCAAAATCAATATTATCTAGAAGGTCAATGTTACATCAAGAAAGAAGGAAAAATGAGGATGTGGTGCAGGAAAAAATAGAGCATCGTGATGGAAAGGTGAGATAAATCAGGGTACTTGAGATCACCAACAGGGCTGCAACAGATAGGAATTGTCACTTCAAGTAGTCATAGAGAATTATCTCTCAAAGAGTCCTTAATGAAGAGCTTAAGTGTAAAGTTCATGTTATGAGTAGCAGGAAATTATATATAGCTGATGGGATGGAAATTTCAGTGGAAATCTTATCTCCTACTGCTCTGACTGAGAGTAATCTATGCCCAATCACAGTTGTCAATTCTTGATAAGCCTTAGGATATGCAAAGTTCAGACAGTAAAGTAAAACACAGGTTCCTGTGTTTATTCAGTTCAGAACTTCTCCTGTTAGTACTTCTCCTGTTAACACGTGTTGATTAATGATACTTTCCAATAAGCACATGTGGAAAAGGCCTTTGCAATATAACATTGTTCAGGGGAAGCTGGTTTGATGTACCTATTTTATTATTTATTATATTATTTTATAGCCAACATTATATTATTTTATAGCTACTGCTGAGATAGACTGTGTGAAAATTTCTACCAGTCATGTTTCCTTCTCATAGAAATAGAAAATACACGATTCATTGTTTTGATCCTTGATAGAAAAATAATTGTGAAAATATCCTCTTTACCACTGTATTTGATTCATAAAACTTAGTGTTGGAAAAGGCTTGCTCAATATGAGAGTGGCCAAAAGGTTGATTGAGTCATTTCTTCTTATTTAAACTAACTGGAACTTTTCCTAACAAGGCCTTTTGTAGTAAGTATCTATAACAATACTAAAACTAAAATCTTGCACTCAGTATTCATTCATTCCCTTTCCCTGAGGATATTTATTGCTTCTTGTCTTGCTGGGATGTGTGCTTTTTTTTTTTTTTTGTAGAGAGCCTGTGACAACACTGGAAATACAAGGAAGAACTATAGTGCACCATATGGTTGTCTTCTTTTTCTGGACTTTGCTAAATGAATTAAATTATGGGATTTATTTATGCTGAACAGAACTAGCTCCCATAGTCATTCTGGAAAACTCATTAACTAGAGGCTGTATTAGGAAAGAAGTCTTCTTAGACCAACATATTGTTTGTAGAACAACACACTGATAATATTATTGCCACCTGTTAAGAAGTCTTGATCAATTTTGTAAGGAATCTCTGCATACAGCCACATTTAACTCTGTAGTATTGACTGTCCATTCAGGCTTATGGTACTTGGAAAAAATGGTTGTTAACGTGTCAGCTGTCTCTGTTAATATATCATTTTGATTTGCATAATCCAGTACAACCTACACAGAATGAGTACCTGCATATATGAAAATAGTACAAACCATTACTAACTGAAGTCGGCCAGTGAACAGCCTGTATTTCTTCATTATTGCCCCAGGGCAATCTGTCTTGTCTTCCTTAACAGAAGAGAAGGTGGTGTGGTGGGAATTTGAGTCAGGTGCTTGAAAAGGGATGATTTTGCTAAAAGATAATGTGAGACTTTTTTTCTCTCTTATGCAAAAATGAGGTAAAAAAAAAAAAAAAAAAAAAAAAGCACATGTGCTGCTGAGGCAGCTTTGAAATGCAAAAGTATTGAGTGAGTACACTGAGTTACTTCAAGTTCCAATTTCATTGGAAGGCAGTGTAGTGTAACTCGCATCCTTTGACTTCAGCAACATTAGGTGCTCTATGTTTTCGAAGGTTGAAGAGGTGCTTACTGACGGTCGTCGAATCATCACTTTCTGCAATGGTACTAAAAAAGAGATCAGTGCTGATAAAAGGATGACAACAATTAGCTTTTTCAATGGAGATGTAAAGAAGATCATGCCAGATCAGAGAGTGGTATGTCGCATTTGTTTTCTTTAAGTAAAATTGTATGGCTAAGTGATCTGTCAAACAAGTTTCTACCATTCATCTTTGTAGCAGAAATGCTAAGTCACAGCTTGAAGCAGTGATTGAGCACCTGGTGGGAAAGTAGGGCCAACCCAGGGCAGCTCAGGTGTATGCAATGTACCTGAGTGACTGGAAGAGGTGGAGCTAAGATCCAGCCCTTCCCAGATCTCATTTAAAGGTTTTCAGTAGAGGCAAGGGTGTCTTGCTGGAGATCCCTGCCTACCTGAGATCTTCTGAAGGTAAGCAGATTTTTTCCTTTGTTTTGATGTCTACAGCTGCTGCTTTTGAGCACACCCTCACTTGCTGTATGTAACCTAGAACTTTGCTACTACACTGGCATTGCTGCACTTTCCATGGTGTTACAGCATTAATGTTACATTACAGTGTATCTTTAAATAGCATTTCTGGGATAAATTGATGAGGAAGGGTGTTGGCTTCCACAGCCCTGATTAGGGAGGACAAGAATGGAAAGAAGTGAAGGTAACAGTTGAAGAAGGGGCAAGCAGGGATTGAGCTAAGCAGATCAAAGGAAACCGGAAGAAGGCAAAATGTAGGGGAAGCCATCTGAAGAAAGGACTACTTTTCATATATTTTAGAGTGGGTTGCACAGGAGATTGTTCTTCTTGGCATTAGGTAAATATGTTTAATAAGAACATGAGCTGAAGTGGGGATGAGTAAGATCTCGGCAAGAATGTGAACGCTTTAAATTATTAGTGCATAGGTTGGAGCTAGAAATCCTATCCATGGGGAGTTGAGAAGATCACTCTCATTGTTCTGCTCTACTCTACAGAAAGTAGAAGTATCTAGATAAAGCCAGGAGGAGAGGTGTGAATGAAAAAAAGGAATTAAAATGGAAGCGTATCAACTTTTAGGAATGGCAGATACCTGAAGGAAATGGCCTTGAAATGACTTCTTAAAGTTCGCTTATTTTTTAAACAAGTTGCTATGGTTTAATCTTCTTATGCAAATATGACCATGCTGCAAACAGTTCACTGTCCTTCCAGATTTATTATTATGCAGATGCACAGACAACTCACACTGCTTATCCAGAGGGCCTAGAGGTGCTGCAGTTCCCTAATAATCAGATAGGTATGCAAGAATTTGTGGGTGTGAACTATATGTGTGGGAATGTCGTAATTGCATACGTGTTGTCTGAGCCTAACTCCAGCAGATTTGCTTTATTTCTTCCAATTTGCTTTGTCTTTGCCTTTTGATTTTTGGTATGATCCATGATTTTACTGCTCAATTTTCTTCTACAAAAAAAAAAAAAAAAAAAAAAAAAAAAGATAATAAAGGGGCATAAATGCATCATTTCTGTAGTTTTACTATCTTATTTGATTCTTTAGTTTATCTAGCAGTACACTGGATAGAATTTCTACCCTCACTACAAAGTCTAAAGTAAATCTCATCTAGTTCTGTGTAAAGTTATGAGAAAAAAAAATGTCTTTGGAATTCTAAATCTTGTTTTCCACAGAAAAGCATTATCCTGATGGCACACAAGAAATTGTGTTCCCTGATCACACAGTGAAATGCCTCTACAGTGATGGATTCGAGGAAACTTTTTTCCCAGATGGTACAATAGTAAAAGTAGAAAAGTAAGTCTCCTTTTAGAGATGGGAATTGGCACTGGGCACAAGTTTAATGTTACTAGCATATACAACTGTGGTTTGATTCTGCATGACTGGAAAACTTCCATATGAAAGAGGAGATTTGGATGAGAACTAGTGCTTTGCCACAGTGAGGAACTGAGAATTGTTTACTTCCACTTTGAATCACAGGTGACCTGATATCACTGGCAAAGTGACTGTGAAATACTTCTTTTTGTTCTATGTAACTTTGCAGTCACTCTCAACGTCTGGCCAGGGCAACAGTATAACTTGCAAGCAAAAGGGAAGCCAGTTGTTTGTATTAACAATATAGGAGTGGAGAAGAGAACTCTTAGGTTGTATTCTTTGGTATTTTACTCGCTTTCTGTTTTTGCCAAGATGTTTTAAATTCTTTGCTTCTATTCCATCATATAAAATGAGGACAAATAACAACAGGAATTCATTACACGTGCCTATTCCATGCTTCTGTTGTAAAAGATTTTTCTATTAGCAAAATGCCTCAAGATCCCTGCATGCAGTATACGTACAAAATACGGGTCCTGCCATCCATTATTATGTATAGAAGCACCTTTGTATTGAAAGTTGATTGTGATAATTGATCTCTGATATGACCGCATGTAAATTCTGAAGTGAATTATATAACCTATGAAAGTTTCTACTTTCATTGTGCCGTCTTAGGCAGCTAGGTATGTTAGGTTAATAACATACAGTGCTTTATGGCCCATTCACTCATGGCTATTGCTTTCAGGAACGGTGATAAACTAGTGGTATTCAGTAATGGCCAGAAGGAGTTTCACACTGCACAGTTCAAGAGGAGGGAATACCCAGATGGAACCATAAAGACTGTGTACTGCAATGGCAGGCAAGAAACCAAGTATTTGTCTGGACGGGTTCGAATCAAAGATGAAGAGGGTAATATCATTCTAGATAAGAAGTGATTCCTCCTCTCAGTGGCTGCACTGAGTAAGTGGCTCAACAAATTTTGTCTGTATGATTTAGTCTCTCCTCTGGACACGTGTGCCGGTTTAAAAGATTCTTTACTGATGCCTCTAATGCTTTTCTGTTGCTGTTAATTATTAAGATTAGAACATGTGAAGCAGTGAAAACCACTACTTCTAATGAAATAAATTAAGGATAATACTCTCAATCTGCTGTGTTCTATACAACTACAAATTGCCATCATACCACAAAGAAAAAAAAGCGTAAAAATCTTAATGGGTGGAGACTAGTCTACATATGTGTCCTGGAGTTATGGAAAAAAAAAAGTAATTAGAAGATGCTAAAGTACACTTTGTATCAGAAGAGGCTGAAAGTGGGGGGCTCTTGAACCTGGAGAAGGCTCAGTCATACCAATGTACATAAATACCTGATAGGAGGGAATGTGGACTCTTCAGAGCAGTGCCCACTGACAAGACAGGAGGCAAAAGGCTTGCACTGAGACGCATGAAATGATACAATTATAGTCTGAGAATACTGTCTAGTGTATTTGAAGACAAAATATAACATTTATTCCTTTTTGGTCATTATTCCAGATAAAAGTGACACTTCTTGTATCTTTCTCAGAACTCTTTTGTGTTGCTTTGTTTTTGAATTAACCTCTCCCATTACTGCCTTTATTCTTCCAGTAGTATAAAAACATTTCTGGTCAGTGAATCTCAACAGATTTAAGGCTCTTTAAGTTGCACTTAATACCTAGGGGGATGAATCATTTACCAGATACTACTTTCAGCTCCCTTCCTGGTAGACTGGCTGTCCATCATCTGTCTTGAATTCTTCTAAAGCACTGAAGCATTTCCCCTGTAGAACTCATCTCACTGCTCAGTGACTGAAGAGACTGAAAATTATTTCCTTGTGCCCTTCAGATTCCTGTAGCAACAAACACGCGTTCATAGAATGCTGCCTTGGCCTTTTCTCACACCTACGTGCAAAGTAATTGCAAGATTATGGAACTTCTCTCTCTTCTCTTTACCTTCCAGTGGGCCAGACTGCCAATGCATCAGCGTTCATATTGCAGATCATCTTTGCAAGAAACAGATTGAGCAGAGTAGAAAATGTTGTTAGTATCGATCATACACCATTACTCATGAATTTAATTGAGATGTTCTAAATATCCAAGAAGTTTGGTGTCAGATGGTGTGGTAATAACATTGTACTGTTTTGCTTATGTTTCATTACAACAAAGGAACACTTTTAAATCTGTGCTCCTCACTATTGAAACACTTGATACATTTTATATGTTTTGTAGAAGGAAACTCTAATCCAAAGAAATCCAAGAGATCATTCTTTTCCACGTGTTTCACTAAGAATTTCTGCTCAGTGTAGCTTCTGATTAAAACCAGTGTGTGTTTTGTGTTTGTTTTTTTTTTTTTTTTTTTTTTTTTTCCAATTGACCATTGTAAAAACAGTCAACATGATTAATTCTCTTTCAGTTTTGTTAGGAAAATTGATGTTTCTAAGGCACAAGTGCTTTTATTCTCAGGGTTTTTTTTAACAAGGAGTGCATATTCTCCAGTTGTTATGCTTACATCCTTTTTGTTTCTACAGTAAAAATACAAACTTGCCTTAAATTATAGGTTGCCATTCATTTATCTGCGCATATAATCCTCTATAATTTTAAGTTCAATAATTTTGTTTGTGATCTGCTTGCTCCTCGGTAAATTAATCTGACTCTACTTCTAGGATGCGTTCTCCTGGAATAGAAGGCATGTAGTCCTGCACAGATGTAACGCTGAAGTGATAATGTGTAACCTCCTAGGTCTCTGCACATGTTTTTCAAGCAATACTTTATAGCACGGAAGCAAAGGGATTCTTGAAGTAAGGGTTGCCATTTAATTTTCTTAGAAAAAGAGACAGAAAAATACGTAACTAATGAGACTTGGCAGGTAAGGAGCCCTTCACAGACCGATTATGGCAAGTTGTACTATTTTTCACAGGCTAATTCTCACACCTTGTCTCCTTTACCTTCCATTTGCTTTAGGTGATCAGGAGCTGCTTGCTCTAGTAGGTATGGTGCAGGAATACTAATAATCCAAATTTTGTGGTGCATGTTTACCTTAATTGTAGCAATACACTTGCCTACTTTGGAAAAGCCAGCTTATTATAACTTTTCCTCTGTGGTATGCAGTGAACATGTTTTTTATGAAATCTTTGGGGACATGGGACACAGCTGGAAAACCCTATTTCTCTCCACAGGTCTTCTAGCACTACAGGAAGTATGTTTCAGCCAGTATCTGGCCTCAATTTTGAGACAAATCTGGAATACACTGTGGGTGACTTGTGAACAATAACTTCAGGCAGCTGGGGGCAGCAAAGGTGTACAAGAGAAGAGTACTAATTTTAGAGTCTCAGATGTCTCAGTTCAGTGTTTTTTTTAATCTTTCATGCTTAATTAATCAGTGAAGAAGTTCTACTGAAAGCAAAACAAAACTGCCTAATTGCTACATCCTTTGGGTGGCTAACACAGTCTGTGAGACAGAGGTTTGATTTGCTCTTCTTGAACATAGTATTTGCAGTTTGTCCTGCCCTCCAATATCAAATTTCTTTCTCACCTTAGGAAGCCTTCTTTATCAAGGGCTTATCTGGGAGGGGGGGGGGGGGAGAGAAACATCACTGTAACAGTGTATGTCAGTACATTTTTTTTTTTTTTTTATAACTCATTTTCCATAAGAATTTCTGCAGAATCCTACAGGTCATAAAATGAAAGTTGTTTCATATTGTTGTTTCATACAGTGCAAAATTAACCTGCGGAAAGTGATGCCAGGCAGCTCACTGGATTGTTCAAAATGTTGTTTTGTGTGATTCATATAAATTGAGAGCATGTTGAATATTTCCCTTGTATAAACTGACCAGCTTTTTCAAATCATAAAGCTGGGAAAAGAAGCAAAGATTTCGGAGATAAATAATAAGACAGGTATTTCTGAGGATGTTCTGAGAAATGCAATTCTCCATTTTTATTTTGAGATTACTTGTAAGAGTTATTCAGCACTTTCATTTTCAAAAATAATCTCTCGTGGTAATTGCTAAATCACAATTTTTACATTGTGTATGCTTTGAAATATTTCCTTCTAATACAGCTTCAGTACATAGCCCACATACCTTCAAGCTAACGGTGTCATTCATGATGTCTGCATGACTTTTAAATTATGAAGTTATACATATCATGTCTTTTTTTGTCTTGTGCTATTTTGTTTGCTCACTAACTTGTTTATTTCCTTTATGATGCTCTTTACATCTGTGCTGTCCTTGGAAGCTTGAAGTGCAGCTTCATTGAAAGGAAAAATAAGCACAAAACCTCCTACCTGGCGGGTAGGCATCTGATCTTTATCAGAGAGGAAATAGGGGCGTGTGCTTAACTTGTAGTTGCAGATTTCAGGTGAAGGTGACCACCGGCTGAGTTGTGCAGAAATGAATGGCGGATGTACAGCTGGGAGTTGTTTGTTTTTAGCTTCAATTTTTACTTGAGAGGATGTTTTTGGCTTATTCATCTTTTCCCGCAGCTGAGAAGTCAGTGTTTCCCTTGGATGTGCTCTGGCAGTTTTCCTGGTCAGGGAAGACGCCTTATGAATTGATCCTCTTGCAAATTGCAGGGCAGGTTGTGTTTGAGGAGCAGAAATACAAGTAGATACTTTTTGACCAGAAAGTAAGCCAGAAGCCTCTTCCGGGGTGCTTTGACCGGCTCTTCTCCAGTGCACCTGCCTTCTAACAGCTTTTGACCCAGGCCTTTCATTCTGCCTGTGAGTGTCAACCTGCTTGTAGTTAAGCAGTTCAACAATATCATGAAGAAGTTTTCTTTTCACAGTGTCATCAATGGAGCAGTCTAAACACAAAGCTGGATTGTAGTTCACTTCTAAAAGCCATGGCTTGAACTTGTCATCAATCAGGATGTCAAAGCCAAAGAGTTCAAAGCAATTGGAAGCCTCTGGTAAGGGAGTGACAGCAAGCAGGGTGAGAATCACAATGTTATTCATCTTTTGCCACAGTAGCGTGTCATCAACCCCAAAAATTCGAAGGTAAGAACGGAATTTGCTGAACGTCCACTTGCAACCACAGCCAATCCCTTCTTTAAATGCTTTATATGAAGCTCCGTATTTGTTGATGCTGGTGTTTGTTAGGTGGGCGTAGACATTGTCTAGAGAACTGAGGTCAAACTTCTCAGTGGCAAACCTCACCAGTCCCTCTTCATAAGTGTAAATGGTGAGTGGGCAAAAACTGGTGACACACACATAAAGGCGAAGATCCAATTTATATCCTGAAATGAGCAAGGGGTTGCTAATGTACTTCTGCACAATGACTGTACAGTGATATACTAAGTCTTTAATGTCTTGGAAAATGAGTATGCCCCTTCCACGGGAGAGATGCACAGGTTTGCAAATCCAGTAGCTAGGTCTGCCTACTGTCTGTCTCTCTTTGCTGTATTCTGCTATAAATTTGACGTAGTCATTGGGCATGATGAATGCCACTGGACTAAATTCATACAGTGTTGATCCATATGCTCCTTTCATACGTTTCAGATGCCTTGCCAAATAGTCTTTTCTGGTGATCCTGACAGCTTCTGGATAGTGGTTGAGTCTCTGCCATGGTTTAATACTGTGGTGGTCTGCCATAGGAAAAGGTGAGTTCCGCCAGTACAAGTTCCAGTCTGTGTCGTCTTGCTCCTTTCGGTCAAATTCAGTCCAACCACGTTCCAGTAAAACCTCACGGATTATTGCAGGGGCATTTTCATGGAGACGGAACACCAAAGGCTTCAAGGTTTCACTTGCATTATCATCTGCCAACATTTCCATCTTACTAGCTGAAAGAAAACAGAATTGTCAGGAAAGAAACAATGCTACAAGTTGTGCTAACAGTCATCAGCCTTGCTGTATTCTTAATGTTTGTCGCTCTCAACACATTCTCTAAGCATATTACTCTTGTTTCCATTGCCCATGAAAGAGAAGACAAAGGCTTGTTTAAGCTGAAAGGTATGTTAGAAGGGCATAAACACCAGATAGCTGTCAAGATAGTACAAAGCATTGACTGCTGAACATCTTCAGTCTTGCATTTACTCTTTCTTTGAGGTAGCCTACTATAATAGCAGTTGTCCTAAAACTTCTGTAATTCATGAATATTTACTGAATATTTCAATTTCCTGATATGGGAAGTTTTTTCCACAGAAGAAAAATAATCTGCCAGGTATTCTTGAAACTCAGAATTTTGTTTTGAAACTGTCAGAATATCTCACTTATGTTTTTTGAAAAGCCAGATTCAACAGTTCTTGTTCAGAAAGACTTCTTAATGTCTTACCATTAATAAAATGTAAGTTAAGTTAACTTAAAAGTTTTGTCAGCTGCAGAACAGATTAAGGCTTATTTCATCTGCATGTGGAAAACAACTCAGAATTTCTTGTATGATATAAAACATGCTTCACTTTCCACATCTGACATCTGGTAATCCTCTTCTATGATGTATTTGATGTGGCTGTCCAATACATTTTGCTGCTGCTATCAGGCTCAATTATGGACTGTAGCTGAATTGTCCTTAGTGAGAGCTTTCCTTGGGTAAGGGTTTGTAGGAAACAGGAAAGAAACATGGTAGGTACTGCAGCATAATAATGATGTAATGTGACTTAGGAACTAACACCACAAAGGTGAAAGAAAGACTTCTTTCTACATCTCTTGCAGGCAGTGCTTCCCAGGAAGCTGAGGGTTTGCTGTTGAGCCTGCACACAAGCCTAACCTGGTGGCATAGTGAACCCGGGCAATTTTTGTTGTCTTTTGCTTCTGCTTTCTTTCCTGGGAGTTTTTTCCTGCCTGATATTAAACGGCAGTATGTCACATGCCGTGTGTGTGCAAAACAGCAAGTTTTACAGTAGCTGGTTCACAATCTCAGGCAGTGATTATTACATTGAGAAAAAATGTATATACCTGAAAATAGCCATACTAAGCATTTGGATGAGTCATCTTAGGACTGCAGTTTTGTTGTTTTTGTACTGCTAAGCATTCCTACTAGCAGTGTTTCAGTGAAAAGCACTGTTGCACAAGAATCTAGAGCAGCTATGATTACTCTGGTAGGTAATCATAAAATCAGGCTGCTAGTAGTATCTGAAGAATGAAGCTGCCTTTAATGGTTTTCTATGTCAGGGTGTATTAATGGTGCATCTTTCATACCTCTGGCACTCAGGGAACAGCATAGAGGAAATTGACTTACCAAGCTTCGATATAACAACATGAGTTTCAAACTTCCAGGTAATTAAATACAAAGAAAACAATGAGAGAGCAGTTACCTGCTTTTTTTTTTTTTTTTTAAAAAAAAAAAGCCCTATCACAAATAAGCAGAAGCTCTTAAAGTAATACTACAAAAGTTAACTCTAGAAGATACAGTGATTTTAATGAGTGAATTTTACTCATCTATACAGACACATGCCTGGATGAATGCTCACCTCATCATCTAGAAGAGTTTTGCCTGCATTCTCTGAGCTCTCCGTTTTTGGCCCATTCTTTAATAACCTGAAAATCCACCCATGTGTTTGCAAACATTCATTCATCCACAGAGTGGAAATGGCTGCAGCTGCCTGTGAGTGTGCTGGAATCCAAAACCCACAGACTATTGCTGCAGATGTTCCCCTCAGAATAAGGGCTGCAGCTGTGACCTCACTGTTCCCATGGAGCTGTGTGGTGACCCTGGGGCCACCAGGCAGTCCCAACCTCTTCCAGGGCTCTAGGTCTGCCTTGGCTGTTAACATCTATTTCTGCATCACAGTTGCTTGTCTTTATACCTACTGGAAGCAGATCTTGTGAAAATTTGATTCTTAATGGTTAGGCATTGAAACTGTTTGCTTGCAGTGTTAAAGTGGACTGCCTCTGCATAGCTAAACTAAGCAGACTGACTGGTAAGTGTTTTGCACTAAAGTCCTCAAACCCTCAGGGCCGCAGACCATAACATGGGTCTGCAAGCTGCCTGCACTGGGATTCTGTCTCACAACCGACCATTCTAATCATTCCTTTAGGCCTCATTTCTGTCCAGTAAGCAGCCTCATACTACAAGGTCAGGAAGGATGCCTGCCAATCCAGCTTCATCCCATCTGGCTACACCACGTGGCCCCTCACGTGCATTGGGTGTGGGCTACCTGCAACAAAAGCACGTTCCCTGCCTCGCAGCACAGGGGTAAGGCTGAGAAGGTGCACGCTGTGTCTGAGCAGAAGTGCTATGAGTTTAAAGGCTGGGCGTATCCCCCTGCACTGCACTCCTTCCTAGGTCAGCCTCGCCCCTCGGGCCTGCCGCCCCACACGTACCTCTGCCAGCTTCAGCCCCTTCCAGGGCCGTTCCGGCCGCAGCTGCATGCGCTCGAGCGAGCGGGAAGCGGCGGGGCCGGCTGCTGGGGCCGGAGGAAGGAAGGGACGGCGGCCGTTGCTTGGCAATGAGGAAGGGCGGGCGGAGGCTTCAGAGCCTTGTCTAGCTGCCTGCGGAGGGACGTCCTGCTGCCTTTTCCCCCTTCCCCCCGGGCTTTCCTGCTGTTACGGTGGAAACTGTTAATGCATGAGCATTAATTACTTGAAGTTGACTGTCTTAAGCTCCAGATGGTGCTATGATGCATGGTATGCCCGCCACCTGCCTCCTCAGCAACGGACATTGCGTGACCCAGCTCAGTCTGTGAGCTCTCAGGGAGAACTCATCGCACACTGGCTGAGGGGAGCTGCTGCTTCCTTGCAGGATGAACGCAGCTGTGGCTGTGGGAGAGATCAGAACCTGCGTGGTAGTGCAGCATGGGCTGAAGGTGAGCCTGTCTGTGCCCTGCTGCTGGACCTCAGAGCAGACAGACCTGGGCTGCTTGCTGCCTGACAGTCATGTTCTGGTACAAAGTGTAGACGCAGCCAGACTGTAACAGAATGCTATTCACAGCGAGTGCTTAAAAAAGGCAGGATGAGAAGAATATAAATCTTTATCAGTGGTGACTCCACGATCATAGATCACTGGAACTGTTATATGCATTCCCTGTAATCAGGTAAGCAATTCCAGTGGCTGCCATCTTCTGATGTTGCATGTGGTTTTTTCAGCTTTGATTGTAAACCTGTACCAGGTCTGATCCACAAATACCAAATTGTTAGGACTTTAAGAGTCTTGTATACATTTATCCAAACTTTATTAATTAAAAAAAGAGAGATGTTTAGTTGTATGAAAGGATGAAGTCAGGTAATCTTCCTTCATAAGGCTGAAATGTCAAGAGAAATTTTTACTCCTAAGACATTTGTATTTTGTTGGCCCCAAAATCTGTTTGAAACTGTTGAACTTGGAACACCTGTGGAAACCTGCCTGTAGGAGATGACCTTGATTACTCTGACCCAAATGGGTTAGATATGTGTTTCCTGGGTGTGAGGTCCCTTATTTTCTTTTTCTGTAGTAGCAGGTGTCCCAGAGGATCTCTTAGCTTCCAGGTACTCAACCATTCCATATGTCACCATAGACAACATAAGCACAGCCAGTAAAATGTACAGCTTGATGTAGACTCGCAGTGTGGTGCTGTAACCAAAGGCAATGACGAATCCACATGATTCCCAGAGACGGTAATTTGCAAAGGCAGCCTCTGTGTGTTTCTCAAATAAAACACCATAAAGTCCTGAATGAAAACAAGGAGACAAGGTTTGTGAAGGTTAAGTTTGAAACTACGCATTTTCTGCAACAGGGATAAATAGGCCACGTCAGGGAAAATAAACCTTCCCTCTTAAGGAGAGAAGAAAGTGCAAACTTTGTTGTAGAATATTTTTGCACTCATACGAATTGCGATAAGTTTAAAAAACAGCAAAAACAACAAAAAAGCAAATAACAGGGAAAAAGTGAAAGAAAATGAGAGGAAGGAAGAAAAGATGTGTGGTCTCAAAGTGAAGTGATAGGAAGCTTGTTCTTCAAATTATCAGCCGGAAAAGGGGAAGGTTTGTAGGCAAGTCCTTACATACTGTCGTGTTGTCTTGAAAGCTCCCTCTGAGTTTGGTCAGCTGCATCCCCATGCCTGGGATTCAGGCAGGGATTCCCACCTCTGGGTCCTACTGGTGAAGCACCAAGGGAAGGGCGGAGAGCTCGCTTTCCTCTGGGTGCTGAGCTAGCATCGGTGGTGATAACAAAGCCAGTGTTTCCACTGACTCAGCTGTGGTGAGTAGGAAGGAATGTGATGAACCTTGACTTTGCTCATTTGTATCTGTATCTAACAACTTGTATATTTGAAATATGCATATTCAGCCAAAAGACAAAGAGAACAAAGTTCTCTAGAATGCTGGATCTTAATTACCAACCTTGCCAAGTGCAGTATGGCACCAGTATGGCTGACTGGAGCTGTGGAAGGGTCCACTAGGCTGGCTGAGTGCATGGGCTTGCTGCTAGGTCTGAATTCTTGTTGGTAGCTATAGAGCCTCACTTTCATGGAAATTCTGTCCTAATTCTGTCCTGCCTGCTTTCCCATTCCTACAGCCTCTTCACCTTGCTCTGTTGGTAGGCATGGATGTGGAAAAGGACTGCTGAAAATAATTTTTGTCCAGGTTTATAAACTTTCCAGTCTGGTTCACATCCTTTTTAAATGCACGTATAATGCTCAAGAGAGCTTTATTTTACTGCAGTCTACCTGTGCTGCACAATTGTCCTTGAAGTGTGTTTATTGCCAGGAAGGTGATAACAGCAACTGTGCTCAGCTTAGATAAGAGAGGGAAGTACACACTCTGAAATGAAGTAGGTTTCAACTGGTAATGGAGTGCACATATGTACACAAACATATCAGGAAACTTTGTAACATGAAATGACTCATCTATTGTTTGCCTGCATACCTCTAGGGGGAACTCTAGCATTAACTATCCACAACAGGCCAAAGTAAACCATCTCTGATTACCGTAAAATGCCTGGAGTATGCAGCACAATGATGTTGTATTTATTCAGCGATTAGTCTGCTGAAATGGAAAGGGCATTTGTGGGAGCTTGCCTAAGGAAGCACCACAGACCTTAGTCCCTAATGCTATTTTACAGGTCTTAGTCTCACCTCATAGCCTTTGGAGTCAGGAATTTCTCTTATTATTTTAGTACTGCTTTATCTCTATAAAACTGATGATGAGGAGAAGAGACTGTCCTAAACAGGCATTTCAAACTGCTGAGTTTGTTCTGGGATGCAGCATTATAATGTCACTGCACAATCTCCTGCCATCATTGTGACAATGCAAATTCTGTGCATTTTGTTACTAGAAGCTGCAGAATAACTGTAAAAGATGGCAAAAAAGGATACTGTGCAAGCATAAGGAACATTAGTCTTTTGCCTAGTTAGCAACAAATCTGAAGGTTTTAATGAATATCCAGCAGGAGACTGAACATGTGGGTGACCAACAACAGTACTGTAATAGAGGTTGGAGTTCTCGCAACACTGCAGAGCTCACTAGTACAATGATTTGTACACGCAACATGCAAGTTGTGCCTTGTGAGGGCATTAGGAGCTGCACTATCTTCCAGCCTCCATCTCTCACACTGAAGCCCTCTTCACATTGAAGCCTACTCCTTTCTCTTAATGAGGGCACTGGGTGCCCCTTCCTCAGGTATGCTGGAACCACACCGAGATGTTTTCAGGAAAGTCAAGTATCAGGACAAGGACTGCTGGAAAGATCCCTCATCTTAGTGAGAGACATAAGATTCTGGAGAATGATTCTTAAGAGTGTTGGGAAGGAGAGAGGTGGACAGCCAGGGAGATGGCTGGCAGGAGGAGCAGGAAATGAATTACCAACTTTACTTCAAAGGGTGCAAATCATCACTGATGCTCCCCCTTTATAAACCTGAACAATGAGAGCACTGACTTACAATTGTATCAAAGGCACAAGGCTGTGGGTTGAGATGAGAGAAGCTGAGAGGGTGTTGCTTGACATGTGTAACAGCTCCACTCTAAGTGATATGACCTGAAACTGCTGGAAGGACAGAGCCATCTGACTGGTCGCTTCCTTATTTGTGTAGGGTACTGTAGGAGTGCTGGAAAGGAGTTCTGTAAGCACCAGGAAAAGGACTGTGGTGATTTCCTTTTGTCTCTCTAGGAGAAATGTACTGATTTATCCAGTGAGCAAAATCATCAAATCACTTACTGGGCTAACCAGAGAGATGCGAGAGAGGACACCTACACACACTGGCAAATAAGGGCAGATATGGGAGCTAGCAAGTGAGCTAGTTCTGTCACCTGTGTATTCCTACAGTCTCTTGCCAAACATGAATTTGAGATAGAGAAATAAGAAGCAAAGTACAAGAGCAAGTGGGAGAGCATTTAACAGTACCTTGTGGACACAGACTATGGCACTGGTTTAAAAAGACTGCAAGTGATGGTCTTTAGCAGCCTGTATGTATTTCAATACATACAATAGAGACTGTAGCTTTTTCTTGCCCTCTACAGCATTTTGTAATCTGTCTTCAGTCTGCAGAAGATCACTTCCTCTAGTTCCCATTAACGGTAAGTATAAGTGAACCCTTACAGAAGTGAATGTGTATCACCTCGTTATCTGTACTATGCTGGGGATTAATAATTACACTGTATCACAGAGCAGAAGATCATAAAAGATTTTAAAGATGTGTAGTGTATCAGACAAGAAGTCCAAGCATAGCCTTGCAGCAACAAATTCATAGGATGAGTGTAAGAAATAAGGCAAGTACAAAATGCCTTATTTGCCAAAGAATGGTCTTTCTCCTACTGAGTCTGGCAGTCAAAGACACAGGGACTTCCTGAGTTTTACGTTTCCTCTGTACCACCAGGCTTAGTAACCCCCAAGAACATTTCTCTCTGAAATGATGTAATGCCAACTTAAAACCATTTATATTTTTGGGCTCTTGTTAATCCTTTGGTAATGAACACCACAATTTGATTATGTATTTTCTGGGAAAAACATTTCCTTCATTTTCTATGAAGCCTGCTGTAGGACAGTGCTGTTTGGTACCACTTGTTCTGTTATGAAGAGAAATAGCAAATCATTTTCTAATCACCTTTCCTATATTATTCACGATCTCACATTCTGCCTTCCTTATTTATCACTTGTCCAGGCTGAAGCATTCTAGTTCGTTATTCTTCCTTCACGTGGAAATCTCTCATGACTCTGCTTCTTTTTATTGCTTTTTGTACCTTATCACATTTGATTATGATTTTTAAATGGAACAAATCAGAAATGCATGAATCGTAGATTTGTGTGGTTGCATAATGTTGTTCTCTGTGGTTTTTTCCCTCATTTTTTTTTCTAATAACTACTGAAAGCCAATTTACTGCTGCTTTTGTAGCTGAGATTTGAGTTGATTTTTTTTTGAATGCTCTATTTTTTATTTTTATTTTTTACAAAAGACAGACTAAATGTAACATTCTTCTGAATCTTGTAATTTTCTGAGAAATATGCTCCTCCAGAATATTTATTCTGAATATCTGTTATCATCTTTCACAGTGTTCTCCTCTCTTCATCATGGAAAAAATATTTAATAAGTATTCTACTTTCTCATTCTCAACTTCTGATTTATTCTAGTCTCTAAAGAGCTAATATATGTCTTTCAGTTGCGGTCTTAAACCTATTCTAATTATTATGCATGTCCTAAACCAGATTGCTTATAAATGTAAAATTCTGCATGTTTATATCTCAGGAGAATTCATTTCATTGTCACCAAGACTTACCATTAGTTTGTGTCTGCCAAATGGCATCCGATAAGCCCCAAAGAGCAGGGATTATGAAGAACACGACAAGCTGGTTAGAATGAGGTTTCCACAGCAGTAGTGCTATTATACAGGCAGTGTTCGTAGCTGTGGCTGTCAGTTTAGAAAGAAAGCAGAGCAATATAAATGCTATTATATGCAGGAGAGGTAGTGGTATATGCTCTTTAAAATTCTTCCCCCAACTAAAGCACAAGGCAATCCAGAAATCTTTCTGGTTCATTGAGATTTGCACTGACTGAGTTGATATTGCATGAAATACAATACGATACAATGCAATCATTTAACAGTCTTCTGTTAATAATTCTGGGCGTCCTGAACTGAGGGATCCTGGGAGCTGATGTGGCTGTTATCATAGGGGACCAGAACTGCCACTCAGCAGGAGAAGGGGCTGCTGAAAGCCTCACAATCCAAATGCGAGGTGTGTGGCGGGGAGAGAAAGCGCTGTTCTGCTCTGATTAAGTAGTGCTAGATTTCCTTTCAGGGCTAAGGAAGACAATTAAGAATGTCCTGAGGGTTTGCTGCCTTCTTAACAGTAGTATGTAAATGGATAACTGATTAGTCCCTGTCACTGGTGCACCTTTCTAGTCTGAGTACAAAGACACACCTGAGAGCTTCTGAGGCTTTGCATTACTAATGCTATTTTTTTTATTGCTATTAAGTTATTGTTGGGTGGTGGTGTGATTTGGTTTTTTTTTGTTTGTTTGTTTTACATCTAAAAGGAGTTTCACACAGACACATATAGAAGAATCACAGATGATTTAGTGATGAAAGTGTAATGAACTCTAAATTTCTTCTTTCTTGCTCAGGTTTAAAAACTCCTGTAGAGGAAATTCCTCTAGTGGTGCACGTTAACTCAGCCAGTGAAGTTTCTAATAATGCAGGTTTTTAACAATATAGGCCTGTGTGATGGAAGCAAGGTATCAATACTTTGGGGTGATACTTCAGTGGATACTGGGACAGAAATGAAGCATTTCTTGGTGTTTTTCTGCCTCCATTGCGTCATTGCTCCCTGAACTTTGTTCTCTGGAGAGAGGGAACTAGATTCTCAGTTGCTGGTTTTCAGTTGGTTTTGCTTCATAAAAGGTGTGGCAATGGAGAAATCCTTTTCAGGTTCATTGTAGAACCTCAACATCTGTAATCTGTATTGTAGGATTGTTTATTGCCATTGCATTGTAGCTTCAAAGCTATAGGACGTTTTCTGAGTAGACAGTGCCCTCAAAAGCAGGGTGAACTCACCACAAGCAAAGTGACATAAGACAGTGACTCGAGCACAGCTGTGTGCTGCGCTGCCTCTCATGAGTTAGTTTTGCCTCCACATCAATTTTAATCGCTAGCTGACAGGGAGCCTCACTTTGTCCTGCATGCAAAGGGTGGAGAACTGGATTTGAGGTATTATGCGAGGTGATCAGTCCTTTGAGTGGACTTTACATACCTAATGCAAATAGAAATTTTCTACCAGTGAACTGAGAGATCTTTCCAAAGAGCAGAGAACAAAGGGAATTCACAGCTGAAAAGCAGATCATCACGTAACCAACATAATGAATCCCCAGGGCGCAGGTCACATAAGTCTGCAAGAGAGGAGACAGTGGTGACATATTGACTTTAGTGAATATATGCAGCTATGGTTCAAGGGTCTTACCATGAGTCTTTAGTAAACAGCCAACACAGACAAGGTCAAAGGAGCATAGCTACAGAGCTTGCTCACAAGTTTCTGAGTATGAGTACTGACATAGTTGGACTTCAGCAGTGATATTCCTAATCCAGTTCCCAGTCACCCACGCAAACAGCAGTAACAAGGAGGGGAAGAAACTGGAGCACTGCTAACTATGCAAATAAAGCTCCTGGCAGTGACACTAGGAGTTTTCTGTCCTTGCCTTTGTAGATCATGATCTGACAATGTCTGATCATGAAATGTCTGAAATCTGACAATTGGTGCAATGGCCATTACTGAGCAGTTCCCAGGAAGCAAAGAGGGCCTCACTTATAAGAGCATTCAGCAAGCCAGTGGATGTGGCCATGGAGTGCCCCTCTCAATCCATTCAAACACAGCAGCAGGTGCACTCTTCCATCTGCCTATATGCTAGGTTTGAAAACTTGAGTATCAAATAATTAGCTCGGGAACTTTGCTCCCTTTCTTTGGAGGGTTTCTCAACAAATGTGGAGAACACACCTGAAGTGTGTCTAGGTTTGTAGAGTGAGGGAGGAGGAGCAACAGTGATCATTTTAATGCAAAGGCTTCCAGCCATCAGTGTAGAGGGTTTGCCCTCTTTCTGTAGAGGTTCTCACAGTAAAATAATGTGGTATGTGTGCTGACTTGCAGTTATAAAAACTCAAGGGAAACCAGAAGGAAGGAAGATGGAAAAGCTTTGCGGACTTCTGGCTTGTCTCCTGCTTTGTTATTTACAACAAACTGAAGAGTTTGAACCTGTAGCTCTCTGCTGATGAGTTAAGCTTACAATGTGAGTTGTTGTTGTTGTTTTTTTTTTTTTTTTTTAGGCTGTTCCAAGGGACATATTTACCACTGGCTTATCCCATCTGAAGATGTCAGTCAGAGTTCATTCAAGTAGAGGTAAGCAGTTATTTAGCTAACCACAAATCACCATTAAAAACATCTTCATTTAACAAGTAAATATAGATCAGATGCAATTAGTAGGACACAAAGGCACAAAGAACAATTAGACAGAAATGGATTTTCATTGTCATCCACACCTTTGTGTAGTCACCAGCAAGAAATCCCTGTTCAAGCCCACTGTACATTGTCAAAGGGATTAGAAGACACTGCCTTTTATCTTTAAGCTGCTGGAAAGTTGCTAGGAACGTAGACCAAAAGGATGGTGTCTTTTGTATTTCTTTCTCAGTCTCTGCTTGCTCAGATTTGATCTGGTCCAGAAATATAATAATCAGCAACACAGCTAGCACACCACTAGCTGCAAAAACAAAACAAAAAGTTCATGAAAAAAAATAAGGAATGCTGGAAAAAGGATGGGAAATTGCTTGTTACTGTTATTGTTCTGACTTATTGCTTAGCTCTGCATGGGATGTTTTGGCAGATGAATCTGATTCTGCTTCAGAGTAAAGGCCAATTCTGTGTAAACAAGGAAGCCTGATCTACGCTCACATCTTCTTCATACAGCTGTACACCTTGCAAATCCCCTCCGCTTAGCTGTGACTTGGCTGTTGTGACAGCCGCCAGGCCAGCTGCATGGCCACTGAGGGTGATTGCTCACCCTTCCAGGGCAAGGCAGGGGTCATGGGGACTGGGAGCTGGCCAGAGAGTGCTCCCTCTGGGTCTATGAAAAGGCTTTAAATCAACACAAGAGAGGAATATACACTTTCAGTGCCAAGGCACTCATGGCCGGGGGTGGATCTTCCTTCATATACATGGAAGGAAAAATACAGTGCTAGAAGTAGAACTGCTGTCTTGGATCCCAGTACGTGTAGCCATTTTTTGTTGGCTTTTTTTTTTTTTTAATCATCTCTGAACTGTGCTTTAAGTACAGAATAAGTGCTATTTTTAAGATGATAGTAAACAATTGTGCTCTTGAAAAAGATGTATTACAGCTTTGAACCTATAATTTCTTATCAGAAGCAGCATATAAAAGAGTACACACAGTAGTTAAAAAGTGATCATGTATGCATCAGTCTACATACACTGCTCATGGAGTGAATCATGAAGATTTTGTTCATGTAATCAAGAAGGTATTTGTGGCTCATAATACCCATGAAGACAAAAATTGGCAACCGGTTTCTGACAGGTAAAAGGCATGACTGTATTTCCTCTCTTGCTGATGGACACTAGAAAACTATCTATGGAACCAAGTGGAATTACAGAGCAAGAGGAGAACTGAGCACCTCTTCTCATCCAGGTGGCCTGTTTGGTGTGCTCTTATGTGTTCATCCTCTTTTCTGTGAACTTTTAATGCACAAATATGTTAGCAGATTTACAGAAAATTACTGCATTTTTGTGATCATGTATTATTTCTCACCCATGTTTCCTAGAAGGAAATTATATTCTCCATTGTACTGATTCTACGTGGTAGCTGGACTGTAGAACAATAGTGGTGTATATTCTGCCAGTGTATTCATTGGTGCATTTGGGCTGATGGCAAGACATATGAGAACAGGATATTTGCATTTATAGGTCAAATAGTCTAACAAATATGTTAAATGGATCAAGAATGATTACAGGAGATGAATAACTGCATGGCTTAATAGCAATTGGTATGAACATAAAAAGAAACATCCACAAAATGAACAAGAGGCTTATCTAATATTAGGTTCCACCTAAGCAGGCAAACTGTGTACTCAGCAACCAAACAGGAAAGACATTTTAAAAATGTCTGTAAATGAAATATTTAGTTATTTGGTTTCCCTCGAGGTAGGAAAAGACATATCTTTTATTAAATGCTTAAAAGAAAAATGAAACCCTACTGACACAAGGTCAGTAGACAGCAAGGTTGCATTCGTTTTGCATGAGGAAAGCCTAAGGGACTGCTGTATATGTTAGTCATCACATTTAAATTTAAACCTGAGAGCCAAAACTGCCTTTAACAAAAACTCATCAGCTCCCGCACTCTCTGGAAGGGAAGTGGGGGGGATACTCTTTGCGTTTTCTCACTTCAGAGGAGTGCAGGTTTGCACAGGAGAGAGGGTTTGCTGTGGTGGACTTGCCTGGTGAGTGCTGTCTCTGGCTGGATTGCACACTCTCTGCTTTAGTGTATGTCAAGTTATGTGCATCTGTCTCAGCATTGAGAGTATATTGATGTGCAGAGGCTAAGATATTTTAACAAAGGTAAGGCCACATTCTGCCTTACTAAAATACTTCTCATTTAGTTAGAGATGAGCCTGTTTTGAGACAGATGCATTTTGAACTTTCTTCATTACTACAAAATGTTGCTGAGTTTTTACCTATCTGGTTTCATCTTTGGAGTTTTTGATGGCATCAGTCTTCTCTGATTTCTTTCTAGCTCTATGCAAGGAGGGTCGTAGCAGCTATAGTTACTAAATGAGAGATGTGCCAATTCACCTACTGCTGCTTTTTATCTCTGATTTTCTCACAAAAGCATTATAATTTAAGCATCACAGCTGAGAATTGACTAAAGTTGTAAAATCTCAGCAGGGATCCAAAAACCTCCCGCTGAATGACTGCATGTTCTAGGAGCTGTGGTTCACATCCACCTCTAATTACAGTGCAGTTCTCATGCTGAACTGTAGCACACAGGTTAGAACACTCCTGCCTGTTCTGATCGGCATCCACAGATGGCTGGCAGCTGGTGAGTTCAGGTCGAATCATAGAATCATTAAGGTTGGAAGTGACCACTAAGATCATCTAGTCCAACCATCAGCAGTACCTCTAGAGAGCTGCTCTTAGCACTGTGGACTTCTGCTGGTCTATGTGAATCAACCTGATGCCATTAGTAACTGGTTTGCTATTACTGATACAGAAAATGGTGGATTTAAAACTCTCTCTTGCATAATTGGATGAGCTTGTGTAATCCTCAAATTGCAGCGTAAGCGTACTTTCAATTCTAGTCTGAATCAGCTTTCTTCCAGGTGAGAAGTCTTGCTCCTTTAGACAAAAATCATGTGACGCTGGCACACAGCATTTGAAACTATTTAGAATGGAGTAGTTTACAGCTCTCATTATCTTATTTCCTTCTAGCAAACTGGGTTGAAATAGGAAGTTGGAAACTTAATCTGCAAAATTATGCTTGATTTCACAAATACTAAGTTCCCTATCAGTGCTATTCATTGATGACTGTGGATTACTTACCAGTGTAGACCCCTAGCAGAGTGTAGACCAAGGACTTAGAGGGTTCAGCCAAGGCAGTGGTGTTGGTGGTATTGCTCTCACAATCATACGCCCCACAGCATGCCAGGTGGTCTTCTGAGATTTCCACTAACTCAGTAAGTACCGAAAAAAAAAGAAAGAAAGGCAAGACGGAGACGAGATCAGATGAATGCATACTATATATAAGGATGTAGTGAAAAGGGAATCTAGCACTCAGTGCTTAATTGTGGTTTCAAATCCTTCCAATTACAGATGTTAACTTCAGTATCCAAGCTTAACATGCACAAAAAATTGGTTTAATGGAAACAGTTGCTCAAGACAGAACATGGAATTGATAGTTACATGAAGGCACAGACTAAAGCCAGAGGCTTACATCTGACTACAATCTCTATTTGCATTATTTGAAGTTCAAGTATTTATCTGTAACTTCTAATTTATATTACACTGCAAGAAAGGGCTTTCAGTTTACAGCAGAACTTAACTGCTCTTGTAGAAGAGCACACTGTCCCTATTCAGAAAATTTCTGTGTATGATATAGAAATGGAAACCACCTTGAGACATCTTCTGTTTTATTAATTCAACTTATGATTACCCCTTAATGCAGTCTTCTAAGAAACTGGCTTCTCCTTGCTTTATTAACTTATTACTAGCTTTATTACAATTTGAGAGCATATTTGAAACCAGAACAGAATGGCAGGGTTTGGAGTAAGACCTTTGCTTTGTTTGATTGCTTCTGCCCTGTGCTGGGCTTGTGCCAAAGCTGCACACACACACACATGCTTACACATCCTGTGTGTCTTCATGACACTGCCCATTTCCTTTAGGACCCCATTTGTAAAGGCAAAATACTGACCCAAAGTGTGTGCATGAATAGGCTTTGCAGTGAGAAAAGATGATTAAAAAAAACAAAATTATTTCAATATTTTTGTTGCAAAATTTTCCATTGGTCCACGCATAGTAAAGAGCAATACAGTGTACCTTGACTGATTCCTTAAACAGAACTTGATCTGTAATTTTGCAGTTGAGTTACTGAGTAACAGCAGTTAGTGTGCTTTTCCTCATTGCTTCCAAACAGTGCTGCTGCAGTGAGAAGTAGCTGTTCACTTCATAAACAACTTTAGGTTCAATATAGATCGAAACATAAAGAAAATAATTACCTTACTCAGTGGCCGTAGCTACATGGCTTTGGATGAGTAAGCCTTCAGTCAAGTTACCATATGCTAACTGTGACTCACACTAGTAAAGTGCAGAATTGTGCAAAACAAGTTTGTTTGGGTTTTTTTATCTGTTCATGGATAATCTGATGCTGAATGCACAATTAGTGGTATGAAAACTGCAAGGCAGGGTTTGTTTTGTTCTTTTGACAGTAAGGCTGCAAAGTTGGTGAACGAGAAAGGATGATTCTCTTAATTTACATTGATTTCTGTCCCTTGTTGTAGCATTCCATCATGGAGCAACTTGCCTTGCTGGATTCAGTGATGCAGGCAATACGTTAATGCTGTCTACTAATACTGTATCTTTCTTACTGCTCCATGAAACTTTAAGCATGTTTGAAGTGAGTAATATGGGTAGTAGCTACCTTTGCTGTACTGTCAGAGGAGAGGCAAGGAACTGAGTGCCTGGAGGCCCTAACCCTTGAGGCAGTTCTTTTCTGCTGACAAAGCATAGCTGGGAAGTATGGCTTGTAGCATGGCTGCTCATCACTGAGACATACATGTCCTTGAGCTTTGAGAGTTGATCACTGCACACCTCCCAGGAGGGCAGCCTTTCCTGAAATCCCATGTAACTGATAAAAATAAGTAAAAGTTAGAGTTTCTTTGGAGTTCAAGGAACATCCTCCAATGTAAAAGTATAGGGGATTTACAAGATGGCCAATATTTTAATCTTCTTATTATCATCACTTAACATGATGTGTACTGTGAGCCAAAGGAGAGTAAAATGTTTTTGCAGACTCCACCACTGCACCAAATCTTCTACCCTGCACATGAAATCAGAGCAGCTGGTCCCTCCTGTGACGTCATGTGACTCAGTAATCAGGTCAGCAGGGCTCTGCTGCAAGTGATAAAGTCCTTTAGCATTCTGCTTTGACGGTGTTTGGGTTTAGAAGATGCCTGATTCTCCACAATTATCACAACCATCTTGTTATAAACCCAAGGATTCAAAGATTAAAACCTGGTACCAACTCTCTGATGCTTGGGTTTCACATAATACCTATTTGAATATCCCCCAGAGAACATACAATTTAACTGAGCCCAGGAAGAGAGGTAGCTCCTTGCTCTTCATAGTAGCAGTGCACGTGGAAAACCCCTTCCATGTCCATCCTGCTCTGATTTTGACAGTACAGGGAATGGCCGGGGGACTGCAATAAAGATAATACACAGTAGTTCTGTGCATCTCTAAGGTGGTGTCCAGGTATTAATTTATCTTCACAATTGCCTGTTTAAGGCTTATGCCAATTACAAGCATGGGAAATGAGGGCAGTGCTGTTGAGAGATTTCTTCAAACTACATAAACATCTGCTGTCTGAACCTGAAATGTGCTGGAGAAGTCCTGGCATGCAGATTCCTGCCAACAGCTATTTCTATTTCTTCTTGACAATTCTGAAAGCACTAATTTTTGGTGAGCACCAACACCAGCCTGACTAACCATGAATGCTTAATAGCAAACTAATTCAGTACTACAGGCTTTGTGAAAAGGTTGCACCAGTGTTTTGCCTTTTGTTTTAACCTACTTTAAGTCAGATCTAGAAGACTGTCACTGCCAGCAGCCTATCTGTGCTTTGGAGACATGAGGGGAATTCAATAGACATCTATTTTTGAGCTAGATGTCTGAACTGTCTTTATAGTTGATGAAGTGTTGATAGAAAATAGACATTTCCTGAGCAATCTAGCAGATCTGCTGTAGATGAGCTAACTCACATCTGAAGTGCTTGTTTTTACTGATTATGATGGGAATTGAGGGTCACTAGCTCAACTACAGAAATCTTCAATCATCTAAAGCTAGCTCATGTATATAGTAGAAGTGCCAAGTTTTAAAATATATTTTACCTTTGTTAGAAGATTGGCTAAGTATCAGGGATGAAATAAGATTTCCCCAGATTCCAGAGGACTGAAATATCAGAAAGAAGACCCCAAAGTATTGGTTGATAATGTCTTTCCCAATTTTTCCTGCTTTCTCAGCATATGAATTGCCAGCAATGGTGAGGTAAGTGCATTTGGCAGACCAGAGTGGTGCTCCTCCTAAGCCCAGGATCACAGAGGTAGGGATTAGTGAGTACCTGCCAAAGAACACTTTATTTAGCAGAATTATCATCCTTTAGCATAATAATCATTTACCCAAAGATCCAGAGGCAACAAATAGACATCAAAGAAATAGATTTATCCTGTGTATGATTCAGCAAATCTACTGTGTGAAATCAAGAAAGGGCCAACCTTACAAATCTTAGGATCTGAAAACACTCCCAGCTGTATCTAGGGGCTAAGTCTAGGCTAGCTGGCTTTTTGCCCAAGTGCTCAATCCCTTTGTAATTGAGGATTACATTGCATCTGCTCCTCAGAAGATGGGTCACAACACCTTTACTCTGTAGAGTTGCATCCACTGTTACTAGACAGCAGGAGTATACTGTTCATCCATTTCTAAAGCGACCTGGTAGGAACACATCTCCTCTACTCACAGAGCCAGATTTCTTTTCAATCCTTCCAAAAACAGACCAAATAGTCACTTGGATTTTATAAGAAACCTCTGATTTTGTTTTGACATTTTTCTTCTCAAAGGGAAATCTCTGCAGTACATAAGAGCTAGAGAAGCAGCTTCAGGTGGGTGGATGGATGTATTCATTCTGGCTTTTTGCATCTTTTTACTTCTGCTCTATCCGTTACTGAATTTATTTATCCCTCTTCATTTAGGTAATGCCTTTTGCACCTAATATTCAAACCCACAGCAAGGGTGGTAGCGTAGGGGTTGAAACAAAAGAGAACTCTACCCTCACTGTTATCTAGCCCGTACACAATAGAGAGGATTCGAGTAGTTAAATTGGATAGTAGTACCAGCTAGCATAGAAGTTCCCCAGGGAGAAGGCAATGTAGCAGCACATGGAGCCTGCAATGGTCCACTTGCAGCCCAGCTTCTTGATGAGAATTGGAGGGAGAAACATGGATGAGACGATAAGAGCAGCATAGAGAACGCTTAGGGAAGCAACGCCCAGGCCTTCCTCAGAGTTGAGACTGCTCTGCATAGACAAAAACAATGATTGAGACAGATTTTACCACAGGTATATGCCACTGTGATGTACAGAGGGTGGCTTTGAGCAGAAATAGGGAGATGGAAGCTGGGCCTGAGTGTTAGCAAGTCCTTTCCCCAATGGACTCTGTGAATTTGTCATTTTCTCAGTGATAACCCCTTTTAGAAGGCATAGTACCGAACCGGGTTACTCACATGCAAAACTTTGGTGAGTCCAATTTTAGATTACTTAATGTAATTTGAGTTTCTTGTTGAAAGGAGGATCTTGTTTGGCTTTTGTCCTTCCTTCTTTCTCCCAAACAAGAATATCCTTGATGCTGTATTGCAAAGGCTGACTTGGCAATAGTGAAAAATTCTTTAGTTTAAATTGCAGGTCTGCAGGTCTAAATTTATCACCCACCAGGACATAGAGGTGAGGAGAGAATTTTCTGTGTTGAATGGTGTCAGTGTATTTGGAGACTGGAATAATTGTTTTGTCAACAGGCAGAGAGACTTCCTGATCACAGAAGTTGAGTGTCTGATTTTGTCAGCTACAGCTTCCAAGAATGTGGAGCCAGGCTTTCAAAATCATATGATTTCTTAACTGTTAGGAGTTTCTCTGGGGATGGATGGGAGAAACATTGAAATAAACATTGCCTGTTTTCAGTTCTTCACCTACAGACTACAATGCAATAAAATAACCTTTTGATTGTGTCACAGGAAGTCCTCTTTAGCCACCAAAATGAAGTGGAGAGAGAAGGGATTTACTTTGTAAGTCAGCACCGCTCCCTCTTGCAGAATAGGGGACATGGATATTGCAGTGTTTAACCTGAACATGTGGTTTCAGATGCTAGGGCTGACTTGCAACTTCTGAGGTTTATCACTGCCCCTCTTCTTAGTCTTCCCAATTTGTAACACCTCCATCCATTTGTAGAACTTTCCTGAGCTTGGAATTTGGCAGTGTTAGCAAAAAGAAAGTGATCTGAGAAAGAAGAGGTGAATGTATGGAGATAGGAGGGATCTTCAATGCAGTGCTCAGGACATGATTTAGCAGAGGGTTGTTAGAGTTAGGGTAAGTTTGTTTAGGTTGTGGTTGGACTTGATGATCTTTAAGGTCTTTTCCAGCCTGAGCATTTCTATGATTCTCTGACATGAGTTTAGCCCTCTCTTGTTACTGCAGATAACTATCATATTATATTAAATAATAATAATTTAAAAAAAAAAGCCTTACTAATAATGTTTAATTTAATCTTCAAAGCATTCTTATTCCTGCACTGGTTGGAAAATCCTTCCAGAACCCACTTGCTCAGGGGCATCTTCTGGTATCCTGCCTAACCCTGCTTATAGATAGCTGAGATACACGTGTTTGTCATTAGACCAACATTCTAGTCTGAAACCCTTCTCCTTGAGTTTATCTGTCCTGAAGTATTTGTAGAAAGCAACAGTTTCCCCTCACTCTTTTTTAGCTATACTAAGAAAGCCAGCTCTGGTGTATGGTATGTTGTGTTCAAATCTCTCTTAAAATCTATCTCATTTCTGTGTTTCTGGATGTTAATTTCAATATTAGCTGTGGCTAATGCTGTGGCCTGCTTTTTGTATGAAATAGTTTTTTTTAAATTACTATGTTATATCATGAAGTCAAGAGTTATAGTATTGCTTCATGCTTACATTATTTAATGAGTTAGGAATATATTTTTATTATTTAATATTGCTGTGTTTTAATAATATTGAAAATACAGCAATTAAAAAGTATTCCAAAACCAAAAACTTCCCCAGAAAAGAAATTTGTTTGCAATTTTACAGTATATTTGTCTGAGAAATATCTCAGAGAAACTTACTTTCCATTCAAACAGCTTTTGTGGATCTAAAACAGTACACTGATGCAAGTATTCCAACTGATGAAGAAGTACTAGGAAGTACTAAGTACTACTTAGTAGATGCTATGGACCTGGGTGAAGGATAGCAACCCATGCTATGTTGATGTCTTAACCTATGTCATGAATATGTCTATACTTATGTGATATGTAAAAATATATTATAAATCTGCGAGGGAGGCATTTTATATATATATATAATATATATATAATAAATTATAAATATAATAATCCCTTATATATAATATAATATATATATAATATAATATATATAATATATATAAAATATATATATATAAGGGATTTCACACAACCACTTGGGCAGATGCATTTCCGGCCCGACTGTCTGCCAGCTATTTGAAGATGCTCCACTTACCTGTAGACTCTGGAGCCCTCCATAAGCAGTGAAGAGAAGTAAAAATCCAAAAGAAATGACCAAAACATTCTTAAGATTCCTTTCCATGTTGATTCAAATAAGACAAAGGTCTCCCAGTGCACAGAATTGATCCAACTATTCCAGGGGATGCTTTGAATGGGAGAAAAACAGCTTATGTTTCGTTGGGAAACACTTCTCACTGTGTTTGTAGAGGAAAGAGTTGTTAATTATTTGAGGATTGTCCAATGAACTTTACTTTTTTCTGATACTTAAACTCCTTATGGAGTTGTTACTCATTCACCTGTTTTGACTGAGGCAATAAAGCATGCTCCCAAGAGAAATATATCAAGTTTTATTAGATTTGCCTTTGATACTTGGGCATATAAGTCATTCTGCAGTACTTTGAGTTTAGTATTGCAGTCTTACGTGATAGGGATTTCCCCTATCACTGGCATAGAAGAAGAAACTGCACTGAAATGCCTGTCTAGCATGAAGATAACACTAATCCATAAAGGGCAAAGATTAAAAGGCCATATTGAAATCTATATTAGGCCTGTTGTTTAACTAAGGTCACAAAAGATTTCAAGGAAATGGAATTGTTTTTAATCAAGTCTCATCTGCATACAGCAGCTCTCTATATGCATGCAGCATGTCAAAACAGAGTTGCTGGCTGCCAGGCAAATGGGAGCTTCTTCATCCACAGGGGAAACCCTGTGGCTTTGACATTCCAAATTTACCAAGTCACCCTCATGGAAATCATTTTTCTCTATCGTATCAGAAGTCAAGAAGGAATCTAGCTAATAAATGAAAGAGCAACTTCCTTTCCCTTTCTCTGGCCCCTGAAAAATAGCAGACTTTGTGGGATGTATTTAATCTTTCTAAGGGATGAAAAGTTCCCCCCCTGTTTTATCCTATTCTCTCTGTTTTCTGTTTGTCGGTGACACACTGACCACCCTGTATGACACTTCCTGGATATTTCACTTCTAAGCACCAGGTTTTCCTGCTCTTAAGCCAGGCAGGGTGTGCAGATCCCCTTCAAATGATCTTCCTGCAGCTTTGATAGGGAATGGATTTTAACTCGGGAGCAAAATGGGATCCAAGACCCATGCTGTACAATGAGCCTGTTCATATGATGGTGATCTGTAGGATGTCCATGGGGTTTGGCAAGAATGCACGGTTAAGGCTTAGTATAAATCCCACTAGATGGCACAGTTTTGCTTCCCACAGGGAAGCAAGAGGGTGAGGGGTGAAAGTTGTAGATCATTAATTCATTTAATACGTTAAAGAGGTCACAGCTTGTTTCTCCTTTGGAGAAAATTCCAGTATATGCTTTTTCATTTTCTTCTTTTGTCTTATAATCTCTTGGAATGAATTAATGCAGGAAACATAATCTTTTAATTCTCTTTTGTCAATGGTACTTCCACATTTCAAGTCTAGATAGTGAAATACTGGCTTTTTATTTTGGACTACTGTGCTCAGCATGGAAAATACGACTCCTGTTTTGCAGTGTTTGTAATCCTCTACAAGGCTTATGAACCAAACTGGTGCTGCTTCGGCCTCCTGATTTCACATTTTTTAGATTTATAGACCCTTAACTATCTACCAATCCAGAGCTTTGCATTTTATATTTGTACTTAATGACAAATGTTGTTCCTTTTTTGACCTCTTAGACTTAGTCTGCAAAATTCTAGGGAACTGAAGTCACAGGTTGAAAAATGCTGAATAAGTAAATGAGAAACCAGAAGAAGAATACTTTTCCTAAGCTGAAGCATAGTTTTGGCCTGTTCTTGCAGATGCAGGAACCAAGGATAGCACAAAGCACATTCAGTTCTAAAAGCCTTTATTTTCAGTGCTCTATTTTGGCACTAGCAATAATGACAACTCAGCTTTAACAAAAAAAAAAAAAAAAAAAAAGGTAGAAAAACAAACATTAAGTTGACACTACTTTTAAAATGCAGTATTTAATAGGATATCTGATCAGCACTTCTGTTCTGGAGGAATTCTGAACTCTGAGTTCTGTCACGTCCTCTTAGCAGCACCTTGTTGGAGAGCATATGGGGGATGGTGAGTTTGAGGGGTTTTCTTTTCTCCTCTCAGTGATCAAAGACAGTTACGCCTGTTCCACCATTCCTGCCTTGAGCTTTGGGTTATCCAGCCTGCTGCTGAGCCTCTCCCTAGGAATGCACAAAGTTTCTACTGAGGAATCTGATAAGGCTGAGGAGCTCTTCCTTTGGTACCAGGCAGCAGTGTCTCCAGCAGGCCTGCTGTGCATCACCTTTGACACCTCTTTCATTCTTTCAGTTCATCTAACAGAGATTAATTAAGTGAGCCTCAGGAGTGCGCACTATACTTCGGGCTTAGTTTTTGCACTGGAGGCTGCAGTCACCAAACTGAAATTCTCATGGACTGTGATCATAAACGTAGGAAATAGAGCAGGGTAGTTAAATTCAGGACTCCATCCTTCAACTATCGTGTTTATTCTCCTGACTTCGTTTTTTGAATGTAAATGAGGGCATGCTTTGTTTAAAAGATGTAGCATTGGAGGCTAATCTCTCATGTTTTTTAATTTCATAATTATCTATCATTTCCCTATTTAGTCTTTGCTGGTTAGATATATTGTTTAAGCAATTATTTTAATGACAGCAACCCAAAGCCCAGAATACTCACTGTGGTATTCTTTGTCTTGGGAGGCTGTTAATTGATTAGCTGCTTGTCCCTTGAGTCTACCTGTAGAAAGGATAAGTCTTTTTTAATGCTGCTTGGACGATGGCTTGGCCACCCACACAGCATGGGCAAGTGTTGCAAGAGCAGCTTGCAGCTGCTGTAAGTGACGCTGGTCTCCAAGGAGCTTACAGGGAGCATGAGCTGCAGAGGACAAGTGCTTGCCCTTGGATACCTCCAAACACAAGGGTGATGAGAGAGGAGACAGTCTGCATATTCCCACCTGGAGAAATGAATCCAGTTTCTGCCCCTTTTTCCATGGTGAAGGCATTGCAGGTGTCCTAGAGGGAAGCACCAGGACAGAGCCTATTGTCCTGAGCTGTAGCATTACTGAAAAGCCCTTGGTATATTGGCTTGTGCTGGAGCTCTTAAAGGTGACAAAGCCAGCAAATTGCATAGGACCTACTGGGCAAGTTACAGAAAACTACCTGGTTAACACTCCCAGCTGGTCAATCCCATGCTGCTGTTATTTAATCCAGTCTGTGAGACACAAGAGCTGTGAGCTTTCTTACTCAACAGACTCTAAGGGGCAGTCAGGACCCTCCTTTGACTAAGCTACCGTCATCCCAAGCACTCACCTTATGAACACATCAAAGAAGCTCTTCACGGGCTGCAGCGGTGCAAGTGTCCTGAGGACAGAAATTACTCCTCCGAAGAGTAGGGTACCTGTAAACCATAATGTTGAAGCATGGCACAAAGTTGAGTGATTCAAATAGGAAAAATCATTCACAGCGTGCAGCAGGTATAAGAGAGCATGGCTAATTAGTCTAACTCTACAACAGCCTTTTCTTTCCAAAGTTCTGTTCTCCCAGGGAAAGAGCCTGTCCTGAAATGTCTGCTGTGTTCCCACCCACCAGGACAAGGTCTGAGTTCTCCATTCAGAAGAAAAGGGGCTAATTAAAATTCAGGGCTGCTTGGTCCAGGCTGCCGGCACAGCATTTCCTTTCTTGCTGTGGAAGTTTGGCTGTATATCTCTATTCTTCCCCTCCTCCTTCACCTGCTTTGGTGTCCTGCTGATTTTGGAGCTGAGGTTCATGACTTGTGAAGCCAAGCCACTCCTGACAAGGGGCCTTGATTTTAGCTGTTTACTTTGACAAAGGTTAGGTTTGCTCTTGATATTTGTGAGGCTGTGACAATACCATGAGGGTAAGTGCTGGCTGGGAGATGAAAGACCTGAGGTATAATAACCCATGGTTGGTGGCCTTGGAAAAAAAAATGTTAAATGCTGGGAGAATATGAGCTCAGGGGTGAGAATTGTAAAGCTCAGCTGGGCAAATTAAGAAGCAAAAACTGGAGGTTGTTCTGAAGAGGGTTGACAGTCAGTGAATTAATTTTGCCCACAGAATGAGAAAAAAAATAATGATTTTTGTGGTGCCAAAAGTCTTAGCATGTGAGTTGCTCCTGCACTCCTCTAAATGTCCAGTCATCCCCTCCTCCTCCATCTCACATGTCCAAATTTACTGCATTTTCCTTCCTTCCTTCCTTTCAGATACTGCTCCTTTTCCCTCATGCAATGCATTGTCCTTTTATCTGTATGAAGATCCTCCTATATATGTGGCCGCATAGGCATTAGGATGCTTCTTCTGTCTGCATCCTATCTGATGACATCTTTCATCTTTCTCTGGAGGCACCGAATTGTCTATCTTGGTCTTTCCTTCTGTCCTTGATGTATCCTGTCTTCCTCTACTGCTTTGCTGATCCCTGGCTTTAATCTCTGCTTTTCCCTCTCTACCTCACCTCCTTTCTGCTGCTTCTGCATCTCCAGAAAGTCAGCTGAAAACTGTTGGTTGTGTCCTATCTCACTAATTTTGGATCTGTGGGCTTTCAGGTCCATCTCCCTCAATGCTGTTCTTAATATCTCACTAGAACCTTTTCCAGCTCTACTACCTATCTCTCAAAGAAGAGGAGGAGAGATGCCTTATCTCATGCACTGCAAGTCAGTTTATGATAGAAGAGGGGGGGAAGGGGGGAGCCAAATGAAAAAACTGCAGACAGTGCAGGCCACAGACTTAAATGCAGTTGCAACATTTCTATCTGGAGGACTTTGTTGGATGCTTTTCTCATAGGACACTTGTCTGTTCTGTTGAATCCAGCTACCAAAATAACCAGTATTGTCTCTGTAGTAAAGGTAGGAGTCAGTCTGGGTTAGGATGAGATGATGCCAGCCTAGGATCACCCATATATATTGGATTGGAGAAACAGTTTCTTTAATGTTGTTTGACTTATAGATGTTACTAGCCTCCTGGGATTTTCATCTCTCTTGGCTGGGGTTTTCAACGCATGAAGCATTGTCTATGAAGGTGTTCATAGACCCTGATTCTAGCCCAGAGAGAGACTCAAGCATTCTGAAGCTGAGCTCCTTCCCTGCACAGCAACCCCATTTCTCCACTGCAATTGTCCTGCTCTCATTCTCATACATGAAGGTGTTCTCATCTTGGTTCATTTCACTTTCTTAAATCTGTTTCCCAAGCGCTGTTGACATACGTGTGCATAATCCTGCATTTTGGATGTTTCAGAATAGCTGGGATAAACTTGTTTCTAATCCTAAACCAGCGGCTGTCTCGGTAAGGTTTAACACCCTGCTAAGATAAACATGCCACTGTTGAGATCTGTGCTTTTCTAATGAAAGGGTAGGGAGGCGGATCCTGCATATGAACAATAGACTTTTGTATCGCAACGGCTCTGGAGTCTTAAGAGCCATTTACTGGAAACTGCTAGACTGCACATTAGCTGTTCACAAGAGCATGCATCAGAAATTCCTTGCACACACCCATGAGCTGGCATGGGAGGATGGGACTCTAGTCAGCAGCCCAGACCTTTTGCCAGGTGTAAACTTTTGGCTTTCCTTTTTGGCTCATGTGGCTGCTCATGTTGTTAGTAACTATCACATTAGTAAAGTCCATTAGTGGGCAGCAAAATAAAGGGTTCTGTAATGCTGAGCCAGGAAGATTCTGCTTTTGAAAAGCTACCACAAAGACTTGTGACCAGTTTATCTCCTTGCAGAAATAAAAGGTGAAGGGGAGTGGGGCTTGATCCTAGAGAGCTGGTTTAGCTGGTTTGCCTCAAGGCATGTCTGTGTAAATGCCTTGGGATGTAGAGGCTCTGACTCTCCAGCCCCTTCTGCTTTTCATGTAGCATGGTCTGCATCCTTGGCTGGAGGTCCCGTAAGAAGAATACTTGCCATCTGTTTACCATCTGCTTGCCATCAATGTAAATAGTTTCGGCAGATGAAAGCAAAGGTATTTGTGGCTCTTTTCATTTGCAAGCTTGGTTGCCACTCACCTTGTGCTCTCTCCCACTGGTTACAGTATAACAACGTATAGGGCAAGAGTTACTAAGTTGCAGAAGTGCAGGTATGGTGCTTGAAAGCAAAGCATAAAAAAAGGGCAGTTCTGCACAGACTGATGTTTAGTTTGGCATCAGAGAAAGGAGTTGTTATAGACAAAAGATCAAATCTGTTAAAATTAATCAGAATCGCTGATTCTGTTGTTGTTTTCTTTCATGCAGTAAATTATAATGATCAAACCTCTTCCTTATCCGCATAGATATTACCGAGTACATGGGGCAGGTGACTACTTGGTGTTTTCTGTGGCACAAAAGAGAAGGAAAGCTCCATAATCTTCCCCTGGTGTTACAGAGAGTCTCCCCCAGGCCTCAGCCAGAGAGCCCTTCTCTTGTCCCATCATTGGTAAATTATGCAGCAATCCAGGACAGCTGTTTACCAGCTGTCCCTGACCCTTTTCTTCCCATCTGCTTTCTTCCACACATTCCTCTAATTGCAGTCTTACTGGTCTGCAGCTACTTTTGTTCAATCAAATCAAATTACCTTTTCAAATGGCTTCCTGTTCATTCAAATTAAGATGCTATGATAGACCTCTCTGGAAACAGGTACTGGAATCCAGCTGGAAACGTCTTGATAGTCATTCTTCTGAACAAGCTCCATGCCTCCCGTGTCCTTATGGAAATCAGCAAGCCTTCTGTGTCTGTCCAGTCTTGCTTCTTTCTTCCTAGAAACAGCCCCAGTGGGCCTATGAAGGCTCTAAAACTCCTATGCTATGCTTGCTTGGAAACTCCTCTTCATTTTGTCAGCTACTAATGTAATCCTCAAACTAAGAAGCAAACAATTTATTTAGGAAGACAAGGCACGTAGAGCTCCACCTCCTGCTTATCCTCTGAAATGAGTAGTTACAATTTCACTTGCATTCTTGCTTGCATGTTCACTGAAGTTCTCCCACCTCCAGAGAATTGCAGAGTGTTCATCTGGGTCACTCTGCCCAAATCTCAGAAGCTGTTCTGCAGGATGATGGGAACGAGCAGTTGCTCCCTACATGATATGGTGGGTGCTTAACAGAGGCCTAAAGGTGAAAAGTGTCAGTCTGTTACCACTAGTTCCTTAATCAATATCATTCAAACACTTACTGTATACAGACAGTTTCAGCCTGGATTGTATCTCTGGAAAACCTCCTTGTTTTTTTTATTTCTGAATTAAGAGTCACTTGGTCTGTTCCAGGACCCACAGTAGCTGGTTGGAAGTCTTTTGTGACAACACCTTCAGTATTCTGTATGCCTGTGGCTGGATGCCATTGGCTTTCCCATGTGATAAAGGTTAGAGCTTAATGATGTCAGTCTAAGGAGAAGGTTAAGGACTTCCGAGCATTGTAGGACAACTCAGGAGAAAAGTGTAGGAAAAACTGTCAGAGCACCAGGCAGGAAATCTAGAAGCAATACCTAATTTCTAACAGGCTACTTGTTTCAGTAAACTCTGTGAGAAAAGGTATCTCTATTCTGTTTGCTAGACTAAGGCCAACAAGCAGACCAGAGTGGACTAAGTATGTCTGTGGCTACTTTCAGAAGGTTTTTCAATACAGTTAAGATGTCAGAAATTATGAAAATGATGCTAAATGTTTATCCCTTCCTTCTATACCTCTCCGGAGGTATGGCAGCTTGAATTATTTATCATTAAACACTGAATTAATTTAGTTCTATCTGAAACATCCTCTTAAGAGATAGCTATTTAAGTGTTCTTCTTAGTCCATTAGAGAGAAATACAGAGTATACTACAGAAAACCTCTGTGCATTTTCATTGAGAGATCTTTTCTCTGCAAGACAGGAGAAGAAAATTAGCAAGTAAAGCTACATCATGTGGAGGAGTGCCAGGGAGGCATTTAAGTCAGCTGGGAACTAGCAGACAAACTGGTGACCTGTTTTTTTTGTGTGCGTTTCTGATTACCAGACCCCTAAACAATCAAACTCTTCACATCTTCCTTTAATGATCAGAGGTAGAAGACAGACATGCACAGCTCTGTCTCTTAAAGGAACAGAACATGCATGAAGAGGCTTTCAATGAACATATAAAATCCATGCTTAAAAAAATCTACAAGTAAAGTTAATTAATTTTGAATTTCAGTGCAAATGATTCTAGCTTTGTGCTTATATATGCCCAGTTCCCTCTGACCTGTCTTTTCTTTTTCACTGAATCCAAACATAGCTAAATCTCAAGGCTGTAGTCCCCTGGGGTACCTACTGCAAAATACAAGGTGGGGCTGAAGCTGTCTTGGAGACTGTAGCTGTTTCCTATATGTCTGACTGAAAGCCATTGGCTTTTATCTCCCCCAGCACTGTTTAAACTGATTAAATACTGTTGTTAATGCAAGCTGAGCCCTGCTGGTAGATAGGAGCCTGCAGAAAGCACCAAATAAAGCAGCACCAATTTTCCTCCTTCCCCCAGGAAGGTTAGACATCCCAGCTGGACTATCTCTGGCTATTCTGGCCTATTAAGGGTGTTGGAACAACCTGCCACCAACAAGGTGAGGCCAGTTTAGGTAAATACTTTACATGAAAGCTCCTTAAGCCTTGTAAAGGGCTCTGTTATATACCTGATGTATCTCAAAGGAAGGGCAAAGGGTTGAAGCTCTGCTCTTGCAGGCCATTTACGCTAATTGCATGGGACAGCACTGGAAGGGCCAGGAAACTCCTGTGTTT